CCTCCCACCCCCCCACCAGCTGCTGCCGCTGTCTCTGAACTAACACTCCACACAGGGCGGCATGGCTTAGAAACTGAGAGATGCAGCCCTCTTCTGCCGATACTGGACAGTTCCTGTGTACAGCAGACTACCAAAGAATCAAGGAAGTGGCTAGCATTATATAAAGGAATACAGTAAGCAAAAGTCTGTCTCACTGACAAGCAGACCACGTGAATAGCATACATATTTTAAAAAATTATACATACTTTTAAAATGAAGATTATAAACTTGTAGCAGTTTAGAAAAGGTGATTCGCTACAGGTCTACTATAACCACAATTGCACAACAATTTACAGATTCAGTAAAAGGCAGGGTGAAAATCAACAGGGCCATCGCTCAAACATGACAACCCAAGCTAGGCGGGAGAGACGTGTGACAATACCAAATGGAACTTTCATTATGCTAGGAGCTGTTATCACCACCAATATCACCCCCAGAGGAATTATAAAGCAAAGGTGCACAAGGGGGCCCCTGGCGGCCGGTGGTGAGTGCAGGGGGTTGGGCGGCACGTCTGTGTTGGTTGAAGGAAGTCAGTGCCCACTGCACGGTGCAAGCATCAGCGAGAACTCATGCAGGGTGGTCTGTGCTGAAATACTAGCCTGTATTCCTAACGTCCATGCAGAATGTTCCATTTTTGTACTGTACATGATAAAATATATTTATACATTTATATGCCTAATGCATTTTATGCAAAGAAAAGAGTCTTCATATATCACTTTGGAGAAGTATGCATATGCTGTGCTAATCAGAGCGTCGTTACACCAGTTTTGTATGTACCAGAGGTGTTCCCAACTATTCTGTCTATCAAAGAAGGTAAGGAGTATAATCACACGTTCCAGATTAAACAGAAAGCCCCTATACAGCACCGTAACTTTTTGAAAACAAAATGAAATCCATAGAAGCAGGAAAGTGGAAAAAACTAGTCAAAACTGCCCTATCTTGTACTTCCATTGTGTCACTTGTACAACTGCAATCTAAGATTATATATATATAAAATCAGTTTATGCTATTGCCTCTCACTCATACACGTCTAGTAGATCAGATTACACACAGCAAGGCTGAAAATTATCAAGGGTGTGTTTTAGGAAAACAGTGAAGGTAGAACTCCCTCTGTATTGACCTGGGTTTGTACTTTTCACACGTTTCTCACTGTAGGCTTAATGCTCCCCTGTAAAATCATTTCTTCTGCAAGCAAAACAGGACTGCTTTTTTCTCCCCTTTCTCCTTAAAGTTAAATCCTTCGGTGGCATTTGGCAATTAGTGGACAGCTGAGCTGATTTCTTTCTTGAAAAGATCTTAATTCCTAACCAACATAGCATCACTGTTCAGTGCATTAGCTGAGGATACTGACAGGGGACCACAAACCCTGCTGACCTGGCACCTGCAGGTCAGGTGCTGGGGTTTTGTCCCCCAGCCACCATGACTCAGAACTGAAACACACTGGGTTGGTGGCCATGTTCCATTCGTTTTGCCTATTCAGGGTTCAATCCTGGATTGGCGCACACAGCAAACAGTTGTGCCATTGTTCAGTTTTTAGAAAAGGATAGTTTTCTACCAAACAAAAGAAGAAAGAAAATCCCCCTCTAGTTTATGCAATTTGTTAGTGTAAGGAGTTCCATGGGCTCAAACGCTTGTGATGTCCAAAGCCAAAACGGTAACTGGTACATTTTCCTTCTGTTTTTAAATTTGCCTAAAGAAGAATGGTTAACATTTTAACACAAAAATACTGCAAGTGAATGCATGTGAAAAACTCAGAAAGTCAAAGGAAAACAAACACAAAGCAACACTTAAAACACCCATAAACCATCGCGATATGAAAACCACAGAATCGCCAACAGGGGCTCACGGTGTGCTCTGACTGAGGTGGGCGGTGCTGGCAGGGTGCTGTCCTTCGCTGGCAGGTGGCACGTCACCCCGTACAAGGAAGATTTGCATACTTTATATATAGAGTTCTGTTCCAAGGGTAAGTGCTTCACCCAGGGTAAGGGGCCATTAACAGTCTCTGCTGGGTTAGGAAGATGGCGTGGGATTCACAAAGGTGTTAAGCTGTAAACGGTATCACTGTCCACTTGCTGAGAGCAGATTTGGCAAAGGGTTTTCTCTGTAGATCTTGTGTCAGTTTGAGGGTCTACGGGAGAAGAAAACCAGAGATGATTAAAGACATTTAAATGGCAAGAGTGGGCAGGCACCTTGAGGTCACACGTCATCAGCCTCCTGTCTCCTCACCCACCTCTGAGCCAAGGGCATGCTCAGTAAAGCTGTTTGGCTACACCAGCTTCAAAGGTCTCCAAGCCTGAGGACACAGCATGGAGACGACTTACCTTATTTTTCTGCTTGACTACAAAACGCTCTCAAGTTGAAAAAGCACAAAGGAAATGGGATCGTTCACTTGGGAGGTTAACAAAGGTGAGTAAATTAGGGGTGTTTTGGTGGTCCTTTCATGTTAGGGACATTCAGGGTGCAGGTGGGATGTTGCTCTAGACTTTTGGACCAGGGATTTCCCAGGACACGGGACTTTTATGCTAAAACCAGGGAAGGTGGACACTCTAAATAGACCAGCTATGCTTTTCTGGTTCTCTCTCACTGGCTGTGTGGACTAATCGATTTTGCTTACCACCCTTCCATTAATATCCCAAAACCAGGGGAGATGAAATGGCTACTTTCCACAACGGCTTACACTGCTGGGTGGGGGTCATCTTGACTTCCCCCACTAAAAAAGGAGTAAGTAATCTCTGGGTGGGCTGTCTTAGGAATTTGCTTTTTGTATTAAAAATCTGCAGAGGAAAAAAAAATTACATAACACACATATGGCAAAAAAACAACTCTCATAAAACATCCCTTTAACAATTAACATTATTATTTTGCTTCTAAAAGTATTCAGTGGTAAGGCACAAAAGAGGTCCTCTCAGAGCATCTAATTTACACAAGTCTTATCAGACTTCATCAACCACTGAGCCTAGAAAAGTTAGAGGATATTTCTAAAAAGTACAGTTGACCCTTGAACAACATGGGATCTAAGGCACCAAACTCGCAGCACAGTCGAAAATCCGGCTATGACCTTTGACTCCCCCAAAACTTAACTACTAACAGACAATAATATAAACAGTTGATTAACACATAACTTGTAAGTTATATGTATTATATGCTGTATCTTATAATAAAGTCAGCTAGAGAGAAGAAAATGTTAAGAAAATCATAAGAGGAAATATGTACATTATTTCATGCATTCATGATATAACTTTTTAATTTTTTTTGGTATTTCTAGGCTATGTGGTTATTTGCAAGTTTTTTCAAATTGTAGCAAATCTCCAAGTATTTTTCCAATATATTTACTGAAAAAAATCCATGTATAACTGGATCCGTGCAGTTCAAACTCATACTGTCCAAGGGTGAACTGTATATGCGTAGAGATGTAGTGAAAGGAACTGACATGACAGGTCTCAAGACATAAGACCTTCTGTTTATGGAGACAGTGTCAGTTGTCATGGTACGGAAAAAAATGGCCCCAGGCCAAAAAAATGGAGAGAAAAATGGAGAGAAAAGTGGTAGCGCAGTAACATGAACTCCTGATCTGCTCACCGGATAAGGTGAACCAGTAATGAAAAATGCATCAATAAGCTCTCATACACACGAACATCTGCATCCCCTCTTCAGGGGAGATACCATCATGAGCTCATGTGGAATTTTCAGAAGTGTACTTGTGACTTCATCTCTTCTGTGACTACACTGGTTGGCAGTCTTAACCTTTCACTACCAATGTGCAGAGAGACAGCAGGGTTGGTATTTGTAAGGTTCCACACCCATGGTTGTAGTTACCCTGGTTATAGCTCCAAACACAAGAATGGAGGTTGTTTTACTGGCAGCTGACACAAAAACAGAAAAAGAAGCCCCTTCTTCCCTACCCCCAGCATTTAGTTTCCCTGGCCAATGGCTTTTTTGGAGCTATTCTTTGCTTATTAGGGTATGAGACAACTTATCCTGGACTATAAAATAATGGCCTGTTGACTACAGAGGGGGAAAGGCTAAACTAGACACCAGATCTCAGTATCTATGAGCAACTGACCCTTTAGGAGCCAGTGCTATTCCAGTGCCTCTACCTTGGACCCCTAAGGCATGAACAAACAGGTGTGGATAGGGTGCTTTACAAGGGGATTTGGTTTTTTCCTTCACAATAACACTTAATAAACCAGAACCTAACATCACTATGCAATTAGTCATCAGGGGACTTTGGTCCCCAACTCTCAATCCTGACTTACTGAAAGTGCCAGGGGAGAAGCTATAAAGTATTACCTAATTCAGACCCCATCCCCCGGTTCCCTTTGGTGCTAATTATTCAGCCGTGGAACTGGGATGGTGACACATTTCTTCCACACACTCACAGGCCAAGCATACAGCCTGCTCTGATGCTAGGGCTGGCTCAGCATAGGAAGGAAGGAGGCGGAGGGCACTATAGCCCCCAATATGGCATCATTCTAGGCAGAACAGGGCATCAGCCCTGAAACCAGGAGGCCCACATGGGACAGTCTAAAACAGGGATGGGGAACATCCAGCCTGTGGGCCATATGTAGCCTGAGAAATCATTTGGTCTGGCCCTGCCAAGGCAATCGCAAGCAGGACTCGAAATTCAATCTAGGAGCTTTTTTCATAGCTAATTTTTAAGTTGACAATTTTGTATGGCCTGTGAATGATGTTATAAATATCCGAATGGCCCTTGGCAAAAAAAAGCTTTCCCCACCCCTGCTCTAAAGCAACAACCAACAACAATCCCCAGGCCAAATGCCCATTCCCTCAAAAGGCCCAGAATCTTCAGGAAGCATCATTAAAAAGGAGATGAGATGAGCATCACTTTCCCTTTCTGCAGAATGGGCTTGGGGCCGCCTGTGGCACTAGGTGCTGGAAACTCCCCCACAGTCTCACAAGTGTGCCCCCCACCTGGCTCAGAAACCACCTGAGCCTGGAGGTTAACTAGAGAGGCCCAGGCCAAGGTATAGAGGCAGCTCTCAAACAAATTTTATACAAAAACTCCCACTCCACAGAACAGAAGGGCGACTTGTTTTCACTGTGATGGAAGGCAAACAGATTGTAAAATAAAGAGACACATAAAGGAACCAGATCAATATAATCATTCTTCCAAGAGGAAAACCGAAGCACCATTCATTAGGAAGACCCTAGAATTAGAAATAGTCATAAGGAAAGCAGTTTCTCACCTGCCTTAGATTTGTATCTGCTCTTTGGTGGTTCAATGTTTGCACATGTTTACTGGATGCCATGAAGGACTGAAAGAGGGAGCACATTTAGGAGTAAGATCAGCTAATGAGCTGGGAATTTAATGATACTCAGGTTGGGTACAAGTCTCATGGATTTTAATGAAGCTCCCACCATTCTTACTCTGTTTAAAGAAAGACATTTTAGTTAACTGTGAGGTTTATGTGTATATGCTAAATGTTCTGCTAAGTTTAAAAACACATCAGATTAAGCAAAACTTGGAAGGAAAAGGAGGCATACAGCTGAAGGGAATTACAGCTATCACTTTACAGTTACTAGGCAACAGGCCAACTAACAATAAATATGAAAATGTGCTATTCCATCAGTGACTTTCATTAATAGGGAAATGGTTCCTTCTCTTCTCCCTCCTTGCCCAATAAATAAGTTTGAAATCAGGCTGTTGATGCAGGAAAATGAAACTGGGAGACCAAAGGATGAGGCTCATTCTAAAATTATCTATGGATGCTGTCATCTGGTCTCTGGTGAGAGTAAGTCCCTCTATAATCTTGGCATCTGTAGGGAAGACAAGTTTCTGCCTAATTAGCACCACTAACTCACATGATGTTCTAAGAAAGGGCAACGCCTCCAAAGAACTCCACACAAAACATAACAATCCCAATCAACTTTAATCTGGGAATAAAAACATAAATGTTCCTACTGCTGTCTTCCCACAACGCAACTCCATGGTGACAGATCTGGATTTTTCAGTAGCGTTTTAATCTTCTTGGCAGAGAAGAAAGGAACAGGACCCCAATACCAAGTATGTCATGGGAGGAAAGAGAGACATCAGGATGAAACTCTCACATCCACAAACCCAGGAAGGTTATCGACTGCTTTCCTGGCTAAAACACAAAGATGTTTGCAGGAAAGTCTGCCTTTAAAAGAAAATCAAAGTGAAACACCCTGCTCCTCACTCTCTAAACATAGGGATAATTTAAGCCAAACTTGCAACTCCCGGGGCAAGCTGGGGACTATAAATATGAAGCTTTAGGATAGAAAAGGAAATGAACTGATGTTCACACAATCTGACAGGGAAGCCTCACGTAGGGTTCAGAGAACAGGGCTGTGTTTCAGAGTATGAATGTTTCTGCCCCTGAGAAGAGCAAAGAAATGCCTGCCTGCCACCACCTCTGCTTTGCCCCAGAGGAATCTAAGGGACACCCTACTCATCATGAGCCACAGTCATCTGCCAGCATACACCAAGGATTTTGTAGCTGGTGTCACCCCCAGGAAAAGCAGCATTTTGGGGGGGAAGGTCTTGGGTTAGGCAGCCACATCTATTTTTGGAACACCAAAATGGAAGCAGTTCCCTTGGAGGTCACCTTCACAGGCAAAACGTGAAGTAGCTCAAGAAAATATGCGCATAGACAGACATGTTTGGTAATTTTTCAGCATCTTCCAGGTTGGAATGGGTGATAAAGAGGATTCAGGGAAGTGCAGGAAAACCAGCCTGGTGGACACTGACAGCAAGGTCCTAGACGATTGAAATCCAGACCTCTGCCTGTGCTGCCAGCTGAGCAGAGCCATCCCCCATGACTGCCAGAGAAGGGACGTGGGTGGTGCCGCTCCAGAGAAATACGTTTTGGCAACTGCTGTCAACTTGCCAGTTGAGACACAGAAAAGTTGAGGAGGGAAAAAGAACAGGGCCAATAGTAGTTCTGGCCAGACTGGAGGCCAATCTGTATTCAGTTGAGGAGCCCCCCTAAAAGGAAACTCAAGTTTCCAGGAAACAGCCCATAAGCTCTGGCACTTTCTGATGAGCAAGGAAATGCTTCTGAAGAAGGTGAGGATCTTACAGGGAAACTTAAAATAAGCTCCTTGTGGCAAAGGTGACACTCAGGAAGATACTGGAAGACACTCAGC